CGAGCAACCACACAAGCAGACACGGGTGCTTCACACCACCTCACCTTCGTCAAGGACGCCTTCGTGGAGCTGACACCGCACCTGCAACAGCACCATCACGCCACATCACTGCGTTTGGCGGCACACGTGTGCCCGTGCGCGGTGTTGGCTCTGTGCTGTTGCATGCACGCACGACGAGCGGAGCCAGGATGCAGATTGTGCTACAGGAGTGCCTCTACGTGCCCGAGGGCCAGGCCAACCTCATCGCCCTCGGTCGTCTGACCAGGGACAGCAGCGGCAGGCCAACGGGCCACTCGCAGCGTGATGGCGCTGATGGGCACTACGTGCGCTTCAGCCACGGAGCCGAGGTCAAGCTGAAGGAGCGCAGCAGCCTCCGGTGCTGGCCCATTGTTGCTGTTGGTCCATCCACGGCACACGGTCTCACCGCCGATGCCTGCAAGCAACCACAGCAACCCGCAGCAGCTCCTGCAGCCCAGAGCAAAGCACACACACCATCGATGCATGAGGTGCTTGGCCACCGCAACGACAACGACGTGCAGCAGTACTGCAAGCTGATGGGCATCGACGATCGCAACGCCATCAGCAGCAAGCAGTGTACAACGTGCGCAGTGACCAAGAGCACTCGTCACAGCGTCAGCAAGCACGCGGAGGGCACACAGGTGCCCGGCGAGCGCATCCACGCCGACATCGTCGACTGGACCGCGGACTCACCCACGGGCAAGCGCTACAGCCTCGTCATCGTCGATGAGGGCAGTAAGCTCTTACATGCAGTCCACCTCAACGCCAAGAAGGACGCAGTTGCCGCGTTCCAGTCTTTCCTGCGCGAGACCAAGCTCCCCATCTCGCCCACAACAACAGCACTCCAGACGGATTCCGATGCCATCTTCCTCGGAGCTGACTTCCAGGCCATCGTCAAGAAGCACCTGAAGCAGCACCAGCAGTCCCCGCCGTACACCCAGGCGCAGAACGGCATCGTCGAGCGACAGGTGCGCACCCTCTCCGACATGGTGCGAGCCATGATCACGGGTGCAGGCCTCGACGCATCGTACTGGAGCCTCGCCTGCAACCACGCCCTGCACATCCTCAACAACATGCCTCGCCCTTCCCTCCACGGCAAGACACCGCTGCAAATTGTCACGGGCTCGCTGCCCAAGCACGTGCCGCAGCTGCACATCTTCGGGCAGCCGGCCGTCGTCCACATCAGCACACAGCGCGGACGCCTGCAGCCCAAGGGTCGTCGAGGCATCTACGTCGGCCACAACAGCAGCAGCAACAGCCACCTCGTCTACTTTGCAGACACAAACACTGTTGTGTCCTCCATCCACGTCCGCTTCCTTTCCTTCTCCAAGGCCGATGTCATGGATGAGGGGGAGGA